AAAAATATTAAGCAAAAAATTGTGACCAAAATCATTTTCCCAAAAATGCAATAAGGTGTTTTTAACTTTGTTATTAAGAATATAATAAATGCATATTTTTTTATATATTAGCTCTTTAATATGTAAAAATCATATTAAATCCTAACTAATCCATAATTGAACCATATCAAATTTTATAAGGAAGAAACTCTTTCAATATTTATTTTTTTATTCACAAGACTCAAATTTAAAAGCTTATTTAAGGACAACCAAGGTTTTACATTCAAACCAATATGTAGTTGGTATATCTGCACATTTTTGTTTAGCTTGATTCAGCTTTAGTTTAGGGATGTAATAACAAATTTATTAAGAATACAATAGATGCCTCGCATTTTTTGTGCTATAGAGATGTAATAACTCATTGTCCGTGCTGTGCTTTTAAGTAATCCTATACTTTAATGGCTATTTTAGTTAGGTTAAATACTCAATTTGATCCCTCAACTTTTAATTTGGACTAAGTTTGTCTTTGAACTTAAAAAACTATCAAAATCATCCTTAAACTTTAATTTTTGGACACCAACTTCATCCTTCTGTTAGTTGATGGCTAACATGGATTGCTTTTCCATCTAAAATTTGTTTTTTCTTAATTTTGAATATTACATGAAATAAAATAAAAATATGAATGGATTTACATTGTGTTTTATGAACGATAATTGGTACACATTTTAATCCAAACACATTTCATAATATATTTATTAAGAAATTATTATTTTTAAATTTGAATTTAAAACGGGAAAATTTTACTTATAAAACTTAATGATTGAATCGATAGGTATTGGTAAATGTATTAAATTAAAAAGTGTGCCAATTATTACCAACGCTTTATATGTTTATAGGGCATCCATCACTACTAGAAAACCTAATATCACCAACCAAAAATCACCGACGTGGAAAGATTTGTCGATTAAATGAATGCTTACCGAAAAAGAACATGTCTGTATGGTTAAAAACAGTAAAATGAAAATTAATTTATATTATTTAAATTTCAGAGGAGCATTTTGTCGGTAAATTCATCCAACACACATGTATTTTTTGTCGGTATTAATCCTGAATATCCACTCCGCTAGCTCCGGCAGCTTTTTGAGTGCAGTGAGCAGGGATTTTAGGGACTGATGAATCTCTCGTCGGTAACTATAAGATTCTGTAACGAAAATCTTGTCGGTGATATCACTCCGGCAACCGACCAAACATATCCCATGACCAATGACCACAGTCCATTGATTCTTCAAGGATGGGATTTGCAGCCGCTTTTGCCAACCCTTAAAAAAACCAGTGGAGGAAATTCAGACAAAGCCAGAGGGGGTAGCCACACAAAAAATAAGAATCTTCTTAGCCACACAAAAATAAGGATCTTCTTTTCTCCAACCGTCAGCCTCTCTCCAGTTCCCTGACTTCGATCTCGTCACCATCTTTGCTGATCATCTCTCGGATCTCATCATCTTCACCAATCGTCACTAGACGGGCATAACCACAGGGAAAACAAAAAGGGAGTTTTGGAGAACTGTTTTTTTTTAGGATGATTTTCCAGTCCCCCGACTTCGATCTCATCACCATCTTTGTCGATCATCTCTCGGATCTCATCATCTTCACCGATCACCACCAAACAGCCATATAGCCACTGGGAACAAAAAAGGGGCTTTGGACACTTTTTTTTCTAGGATGATTTTTTTCAAAGATTTTTTTGAGGTTTAGGCTTGCAATTAAATGCATATTCAAGTACTGTTAAAAAAAAAAAAAAAAAACTTACCAACGTGCATTTGTCGGTAAATGATAGCGGTAACCACAAAATATTTGGTTTTTAACTTTTCAACAAGAATTTCGTTGGTGAAACAAAAGGCGGGATCAAAAAATTTCAACTTTTTTTGGCTCCCGCTCAAACTTTTATCTTAACTATGTGTATTACGTCAGTAAAAATAATACCGACAAATTTCATATGGGTAAAAAACTCTATATATTCTCACACCAACATAACCCGCTTATTTGGTTTCTTCTTTTTCTGCATCTTCTTTCTTTTCCTCCCTTATATGTCTCTCCTCCTCCTTCTTCGTGTTGCTGAATTTTATCATACTTATAATTACATTATATTTATGTTAATTTTAACTTATATCTTCTCAATCTCTTTTCTTTCTCTCTTTTGTTCTTTCTCTACAATTGATTAAATATGAATTTGAGTTATTGATTAATTTATTTACACTTCTAATTTTTTTAATATTGTTGTTTTGTAGGAAACATTGTTGGGAGATAATAATTGG